CCTACATGTTTGGGTTGAAAGCTGAAGAGATATTCATTCATGTGTAGCATGTCTAGAACATGTAGACAAAGCCCATCCTACTTCAGGTAAAACACACAGCCAATATCCTCTATCTTGAAGGCTTACCTTGATCATGGATATGTGGCTTTTCCATTAGTGGGGGGACCTTCTACCTTGGTGTTGACTTAAGCCTAGGAAGCCCATTACCCAGTGATGTCATGTCCTCATGACACTGGCCGAATGCATAGCTATGAAGTCCAATCTACCCAGTTATGCTAAATGGTCCCTACAAGAAAGTTCTTCTACCCTTTAATAAATCTTGCTTTTCTGCTGGGGGTAGAGTCACACTCCTCACTAGAAAAGCTTGGCTGTGGAACAGGTTTAGTCCTTGATGACCCAACCATGCAGCAAACAGTATTGGGTTACATGGTACCAGTAACACTCAGAGTAATATGACATAACATATCTTTGTGATACTGATGTATTAAAGTTCTTGTTAGACTCAATTATTAACATCTAGGAATTAAATTCTGTTAATATTAAGTTTCTAACTTAATTAGTTAATAAAATTATTTTTGGAAGAATTTTTGAGATTTTTACTTTCATCAAAATGCCAAAGAAAGCTAAGATTCACCCCTGACAATGTTCAGAGTGACTGAAAGTAAATGGAGAAACAATGTTGAAAATACATTTGTAATCTTGACCCATCAATGACAAGCACTATTAAAAAAAAAAAACAAAACAAAAAAAAAACAAAAAAAAAAACTAAAATATTTCTGTGAATCAAATTATATAAGAAACAAGAATGTCCTGAAAAATCCTCATCCTAATAATCTCCTTGCCAAAATCCTCATTTTGATAATTTGGTTAGATTTTGAGAGTGGAGGGTCAGGTTGAGAACTATTCAGCACTCCTATGATTTGAAGTAATAAAAATGGCAAATTAAAAAATTATATTAATTCTTATAAATTGCTTGGTTTACATTTTGGATACAAAACTAAGCAGCAATGCACTTTCAAGAAAAATAATCTGAACAAGAAAATGTGCTTTCCTTAAAAGGGGAAAATAGAACCTTGCTGGGCTGTTCACACTGTGACCGAGTGGTTTAAGGCATACCAGATCAAACAAGGGTTTCTCTTACAAAGAGGGGAGCTAAGTTAGTGTGTAGGCTAATAAACGTAATACACATTGTTTAAAATAAAAATGGGATGTATGTTTCTAATATAGGTATCCACTAAAATAATGTTTGAAGTTATATATATTATACATCCCCAGGTAAAATGAGAACAAATGGTGTATGGTTCCATTGTACATAACATTTAATTTAAAAGAGGGATCAATACATAGTAGAGTTAAATATTATTTATTTCAGGATATTAAAACATGTTAAAAATCGCTACACAATTACAATTATGTTTCAATACCATAAATGTGTCTCTTCAGGCGATGTTAAACTACTCGTGAGTGAAAGATTAATTTAATTTCAAAAAGCAGAATACTTAAAAAAAAGAAAAAAAAAAAAAAGACTTGTGGGCTTTGCTCTGCTTAACCAATCAAATATGACCTACACTAAATTCAAACTCACCAGAAAAACTTTTTAATGTTAAGTCATGACACAAAGTTGTCCGCATATAAAACCGAGACAATTTCCTTACGAGCAGGTACAGATTTATTTCATAAGAAGTATCGAAGTCTGATACTCAATGATATACCCTAACAATATACTTTACATCTGTATCATCCATCTTTTTAGATCAATTATTAAATAATGGTTTCAAATGAATAAGACATTTAAATCTTAAAGACAATCCTTCATCAGACCCTCTAGACTGGCAATACAAAGTCATAAAAAGCTTTACTAAATAACAAAGCCACATCACTTGAATACTTTCAACAACAAATACGGATTGCACTTATAACTAGAAGAGAAAATAATGATATAATCAAGCTTTTAACTTTCCACAGTACCAAAAACCAAGTTTGGCAGAAAACTACCATCAATGCTAGAAAGAATAATAACAGCTGATTTCATCAGTCTAATTTCCTGAGAAACAGTTTTAAAGAAAAAGATATAAATTTCAACCAACAGTAACACACAAACTATTCAGTCAATACCAAATGTTTTTTTGCATAGAAATGACCAATTTCTCCATTTTCATCATGTAATCATAGAAAACTCTAAAATCATACAAAACAAGATTGGACAATCTTTAACTTTCATGCCCGCAAAAAAAAAAAAAAAAAAAAAAAAAATGAACAGTGTTTTTCCTTGACACCATTATTATTTTAAGTACCTTTACACCTTGGCAATGTTTATCATTTTAAAAAGCAATGATTAGAATTTTAACAAAACCTAAACATATGAAAGTGAAGTTATACATTTTCTTTGCTCTTGATAAATGCTAACGAAAATAATAAACACCATTTATTTATTTATTTATTAATAAATCTTTAAAAAATATTAAATGCTGAAATTTCTAAAAGTTAAGAAACCTTGTTACAAAGCTTTAAAAAAAAAAAAAAATTTTTTTAATTTTTTTTTTTTTTTTTTTTTACACTCATTAATTTGCAGCCAAAGGCTAATTTTCTCAGAACAATGTGGCCCTTCACTTTTTCTTTTTTAAATTGTGAAGGCCTGACCTATGCCATTTAGTCAATAAAGCTTCTCTGGTTCATCAGATTTTTTTATCTGCATTCCTTTCTTCTAACAAACTGTGCTTTAATTGAGGAAAACAGAAAATATGGAATGGCCTACTTGAAACAGAAATCGTGATTTTGAAATGGAAATTCTTTTTTCTAACAATTCCAACTGCCATTTTTATTTGTCGCTATGTTTGCCTTTCCTAACTCACTCATCTAACAGACATCAAAGGATAAAGTTGGTAATATTTTAATACATCCCTCTTACCTACAGTCTCCCTACAGTAGTATTTAGGAACCAAGTTTTACGAAGTTTGCTCAATTTAATAATGGGGGGGGGCAATTTTTGTCTTTTTGTTTTATCCTTTCTTTTTCCTATCACAACATGGAGATGGAGGCAGAATGCAGTTTGTCAGTTCAGAAAGCCAAATTTTTTTAATTAGAATTTTTCAAATATTTTAATAAAATCATTTTCTTGTTTTAATATTTTAATAACATATATATATATATATATATATATATATATATATATATATATATATATATATATATATATATATATATATATATAATTGTTACACTTTCTCACTAAGTATCATAATGAAGCAAAAATAGAATTCTATACTGAAAACGAGGAAGAAAAGAAAAAACAGAATTTCCTAAAACCTGAAATGGAATTAAGGAAAATTTGAAACAAAATCAGTCCCTTTCTACATTTCTATTGACTATCCAATAGCAGTGATAATATTTTTATTTAACTATAGTCCTAAAAAATTATTTTCATTACTTTTTCAATTGCTTTTAAAAACTTGTCTTCATTTTATTTCACACTTTTTCTTCTTAATTTAAAAAGTAGATCATAAACAAATGTGATAAAACATATAAGAGAATTTTGAAAATAAATGTCAAACATCTAATTATTATAAAAATATTTTCTCTCAGAAACTTTGAAAAATTTAAAGTACTAAAATTGTAAAAATAATACAAATTAAAATACAAATGTGTTTCTTTATTTAAGAAAGACTTTTGTCTCTTAAAACATTATTTAAAGATATATTATTATTTAAAAATATCCTAACTGGGCAAAGGCAACAGTATTAGGGGCTCCTTAAAAGAGTTAAATCCATATATAAAAAATTTTTAGATTTTTTTTTTTAAACGGTTTAGAATTTAGAACAGTTTTTGTAATTGTGTGGGATAATAAAATACTTTATCTCAGTACTATGAACAATTTTAAATACTTAAATTCTAAAAATAAGATAAAAAATACTTATTTTTAGTAACATCAAAACATTTAAACCTAAGATAAAAAGTAAATTTAAAAAGAAAGAGAAATAGCAAGTGACTTAGTAAATCATCAGTTTTTGTTAATTCAGCTTCAATAATTTCCCTGCCTTTCCTCATTGTAGGCAAATACAAGAATTCATTAGTGACATTTATCTGAATATGGATCTGAACTTTACCATCCATAAACTGGCTAACCAACAGTATGGCAAGTATCCAAACTAATTATAATTTATATTGCAAGATTGATTTGTTCCTGTTTAAAAAAAAAGAGTTTTATCCTTTAAAAAACTATCTCAACAGGACAAGGGCAGCAGTGTTAGAAAATCCTTGAAAGAATTTTAGAGTTGAAATTGGATAAATTAAAATGCAGTAATTGGTAATTTTCTTTTTATTACCTAACTTTATCAAATAATTCATCTCCCACACATTTCTTTTTTCTTTCTTTTTCTGCTTATTCAATGCAACACAAACTACTGAATATTTTTAGCATAAATCAATAACCATGCTTTTTATTTCTTCTTTTAAATGCATGACTTATAATATGAGGTTGGTTGGTTGTTTTTGCACCATATCAACCTCTATAGGTTATTTAAGGCTGAAATCTAAATATTTGGTATGCAATTTCTTTTTCTTTTTGAGATAATAATGATTTTAATGATACAAACCTTACTAATTAACCAATAGCTGGAAGGAAGAAAAGGTAGCTTCATACCTTTCTGTTGTAACCTAGGGAAGGTTACTAAATAGAATAATCAAACAAATGTTGGTAATGAACAATAATACTTAGAACAAGAACAACACATATAAGATTTGCCAGCAGCGTGTAGAAGTAGTCAATTGCTAGAAGTGAGTCAAGGAAATTCTACAATGACTCTCCAACTGCAGACCAACATACAGTAATTATTACTATATTTATGCGAATGGGGACATACCCATTACTGTCCGTAGGTATGCTACAACACTTTCCCTAGGGTATCTGCATGTAAGTGAATATAATGAATGACTTGAATTGGAACTTGGTTCTCCGATTAACAATTTCAAGCCATTATACCTTAGACCACTCACACATGCAGGCTTACAGCACCTGGTATTCCCAAGCAGTCACCCATCTAGGTACTGACCAGGGTCAGTGTTGCTTAATTTCAGTGATCATAAAGGGGACCAGTCTTTCAACGTGATGTGGCGTAAGCCCAGGAGTCATTTTCATTTTGGTGAAATGAAAACATAGCTTTATTAAATAGGTTAAAATATTGGGTTTTTTATTAGGTTGGTGCAAAAATAATGACGTAATAATGTTGTTTTTTTGACGTTAAAAAATACGTCAAAAAACAACATTATTACGTCATTATTTTTGCACCAACCTAATAGTCAACTAAAAAAAAAGAAAAAAAAAAAAAAAAAAAAAAAGAGTTTCATTTTCTTTTTCTCACCCACTAGAAACTCAATTTGTGATATAGTACTGTCTTGATTAGCCAAGCACCTTGGGATAGAGGTTGATAAAAATTTAAAAAAAAAAAAAAAAAAAAATTATATATGTTCAGGTAATTTAACATTTGGGATAATTACATACCTAAATTAGTGAAAAAGAACAAACAAAAAAAATCTATTTCTGAAATAAATTTAACATTAATATCATTAAATAACATTTTCAAATGTTTTATTCAAGGTTTTATCCCATTTATTTTTTATGATAAAGAAAAAAAAAAATGTGCCAATTTTTATGTTTCCAGATGGTTTTATGTTTTTCTACTACTAACTAGATGAAGCTAGATTAAAGTAGATGTATTTGTAAGAATAACTTCTGGTTGAAAGCACAACCAACTTAAACATTTGTCAATCATTGCTACAGTGTTTGAAATTGAATTTTTGAATGTTTTATAGCTTTATAAATTTTCAAAATGCTTGTCTGGAAGGGTTTAGTTCAGATAATTGAAAAAAAAATGTTCAGTTGATTTCAATTTTTCACTTCATTTGACAGCTGGATGATCAAAGTAGTACTTTATTGGCTTTGGTTTAAATTTTTACACCAATTTGATCATGGATAATCAAAATATTACTATCATTCTTGGATATCTTTTTGGTTGGGTTTCAGATTTTACCCAATAAAGAGGCAAATGCTGTCAAAAGTTTGAAATAAGAAAAAAAAATTATAAATATAGGATATAGATTTTTCATCAAACCAGACCAATGTTTACATAATCAGTAGGAAACAAAGTGTTTTTTTATTTTAATCATTTCACTGAGTGTAAGAGAATATGAAGAACAAATAAAAAACATTATCAAGGAGAACAAAAGAAAGAGCAGGAGTTAAGAAGACAGGAGATAACAATTGACATTGCATTTAAATTTTTGAAAATCAAATTTAACTTAGAAGTAAGAAACCAAAAGAAAATTCCACAAGTAAGAAGTGCGATAGAAGAAACTATTAGCATAGAAGTTACAGTTACATCTAGCTATTTAAAATATATTGATGAGACCTTGCTCCCAATCTAGTACTACACTTAAATTCATAAATGTTAGGTGTCATAGAGGAGAGTTCATCAGAATAATTAACATGAAAGTATTTATAGAAAAGGCACAAGGAAGCTACGTTACAGCAATGAGAAAATGACTGAAGCCAAGATGTCAGATCAGGACCAATAACATTGCAGATACTTTGGATTTTATCAAGAATCTCTAGGCTAGATGTGGCAGCAATATTCAAAACAAGGACAACTGGTAGACTTATAAATATGGAAGATTCTGGGAAGAAAAATTGTTTAGCATGACACAGTGAACCAATTTTCCTAGCAGTTAATTCAATATATTCTTTACACTTAGTGTCAGCAAAAAACATTTAATTCATTTCCTTAGTCCCCACCACAACCAAGGGTTAAGGGTCAAAATTAAGACATTAAATTTTGTGGTAAATTCAAAATTTTAGGTCATAAGAGAGTGGGCTATTTTAAAATTACAGACATTTGCTTTTTGATGGGGAAGTCTAAACTGATTTATTCAAACTCTGATATCTCTAGGGTTGATAAGGCCACAATATTTCAGCTGTTGTACCCTTCAGGCTTCTTCAGGTTTCAAAATTAACCTTTTCATTCAGCAGAATAGACTGTTCTCATTCTGTTAGATTGAATAAGAAGGTTCATTTAAAAAATTCAATGATGGTACTTGAATACAACAGGAACTTGAAGGAGGCCAGAGTACAATGACTGAAACAATGTGACTCAAGATGAGGACATCAGTTCAAATAAATTGAGGTATTGGTAATAACTCCTTATTTTAGAGAGTGAAACAATTTAAAAAAAAAAAAAAAAAAAAAGAAGTAATTTTTTTAAATTTACAGGACTTGGAGGATTTGATAAAAAATATTTAGAAGTCATTATTTTTTAATTTCTACTAGCTTAGTATATAAAAAAAGGAAAAAGTCTAAATGTAACATTAGTACCATTAATTTACTATAAATGATATGAATGGTTATAGGATGGATAATGGTCAAACAGATAAAATTACTAGGGAATTTGCAAGCAAAATCTATGGTGATCCAAGGGAATAACACAAATAATATAAGGAGAGATTACATTTAAGTGGATAATTTAACTTGTAGGTACCTCCAAAGAAAGCAATTCCTAAGCTATAAAATGCATTTAAAAAAATTTCAGTTTTAATTCCAAGTTAAATTTAATCTATTAGGATTAAATTTAATATTCCCAATAATAAAAATACTTTGGTGTATTTCAAACTGAATTTAAATTGATTGGAATCTTTTTTTCTTATCAGTAAAGACTAAGAGCCATAAATTCATGTATATTGATAGATTTGTCAACACAACATAATTTTCTTTATTAAAAAATAAAATATACTTTTCTAAAATGTCATTTGAGAAAAATTAGGTGATTTAAAGTTTAATTAATCTGAATTGGACCAAATATTAATTTCAGTCCGAAATATCGCAAAAAAGCATCTTTTTTAACAGGGTGATAGGTTGAATGATTTATTGACTGCCTGATGTTAGATACATTTAATTGAAAAATTAATTTGGGGAATACAACTTGAACTCCTTTTTTATATAATTTTGTTTTTAACTATCTGTAATATTAAAAACAGAAAATATTTTAATCAATCTAATTAATATTTTATTGAATTTTAGGTACTTTGGCCTTAGCCTTACTTATGAAGACACTTGTTGAGAAAATGTTAAAAAAATTACTAATAAATTTCAAGTTTAATTAAGGTACCTTCAAAAATAATTTAATTCTTTTAAATCTCGAAAGTTTCATTTAAAATCCAACAATTATCTGATTTTTACAAGAATTTCCAAATCAATGTCTTTCACTGTAAAAAACATGCTCAAATTTTCCCTAAAAATTTATGGTCCCGCGTTAACGAAAAAAAAAAAAAAAATTAACCAAAATTTCCAAGTTTCTAAAGAAAAAAAAAAGACAAAAAGTTATGTAAAAATCCTTTGATCTTTCCTCTTAATAATAAAAATAAATAACGATAGATGTTTTTTTATGTTTTGATCATTTTTTTTTCATGTAGATTGTAGAGAATTTTTACCTACATCAAATGAAAAGACATAACAAAAGAACAGGTTCTACTACGCCAAAAACGAACCAGATTCAAGACTCTTGTAGAGAAGACAAGTACACAAAAATTAATCAAAGTTAGATATTTTTAACAAGTAATTTCCAATTACAATCAATTATTTGTCAATATTCATTAACACCAGGCAAATAAATAATTTTCAATTGATCAAATATAACCTATTTTTTATGATCCAATTCCCAATTACAAGTTTGTTTTTTTTTAGTTTCTTTTACACTAAGTGGGTGTTTCTCGTTAAAATATACAAGTTACAAGTAAAAAAAAACAAAAAAAAACTGTCGAAACTAAATGTAATGACAAATTTTTAAAAAATATTCCAATTATTTTTGTTTGAAACGTTATGACGAGTAATAAATAAATATTTTAAAGTTGATATGGCTGTACATGCCATGAAATATATTGTCATTCATATTCGCTAATTATTTGTTGGCTGACCTTTAACCCATATGCAGACCTTTCAATTTAAAAATACACTCAAACAAATTTAAATTTAAGTCTTCTTAGATATACGAGTAAATTAGAAGGATTTTTAAGAGCTGAAAAGTGAAGAAACTGTAATTTAAAGTTTGGCTTGACCTTTTAAGTATTTGGTAAAAAAAAAAATCATGGGTGCCTCCCAGTAAAAATGGATTTTATTTTTGTTTTAGCTCGAGAAAGCCCTTTTCTTTTTTTACAACTGTAAAACAGAAAAGTGTACTGAGTTCGATCCTCACTGATTGGCACTGTGAATCTCTCTCTAAACTTGAACAGTAGGCTATGTCGCTGTGGATAGCAAGTTCGTAGAGAGAAGGCCAATGACTTCTGACGAGTGAATTCAATCGATCGATCGTAGTGGCCTTGTGCCAGACTAGGCTTAAAACCGATGTATCAGCTATTTTTGTTCATCCTTTTTTAATATTCAGTTAGCAAGAGAAAAAATACAAGTTATGAGCTTACAAGGACAAATAACTTGCTAAGAATGACTACCAATATTTTTATAAAATAGAAAGAAAAAAAAAGGAAAAACAAAAATTTATTGATTCGTAATAAAAATTGTTTACATTTTTTTTCATTAGAGAATTAGTCAATGACCATGTTTGTGCAAAAAAGACTATTTTTTAATGTTTTATTTTTAATAAGTCAATAAGGAGATTGAGTTACGATGAATTAAGAAGAATTAAAAGATGGAATTTCTATACACATCCGTAAAAAAAAAAATCTTCGGATATTTCGGAAATATTTTTTTTTTTAAATGATGAAGACTTGGGATTTTTGTCATAAGCTATAATTAGTACATAATTTATTTTAATTCTAAATTAAGAAGATATACCTTTTAAAATCTACATATGAAAATGGAACAGCAAAAAAAAGGAAAAAATGATTGTCACACAATTAAAAAAACAATCAATACAATACAAAAAATAAAGCTAAAAAACATGTTTGAACGATGTATGTGCACAACTTGCGTAATTGTCACAGAACGTAAGCCTCTATTTTTTAAGAATTGCTCAATGTATAGAAATTGGTCATTTCTATTGATTAAAATATAAAAAGTATTTAGTTAATTAATTTTATCTTAAGTCAAACAAAGGCAAATAACAGGTGATTTTTTTTCACAATCTTTTCAATAAATTGTTTTCTACGCATATTTTTAAATATCAACCCAATATTTAGATTAATTAAAAATTCCTTAATTAATGTAATAATTTTTAGTTTAAATACAAAGAAAAATGGAAATGATAGAGAAGAAAATAACTTAAACAAGTGTTGTTATTAAATGACAATAAGACTACTACTATTAATAATTAATAATAATATTAAAAATTAAAACGACGCAACACTTGATGATTAAAAAAAAGCCAAAATGCACGTGGGAATAAAAAATTGAAGTTAAAAAGGAGATCACGAGTTTGGGTGAGGTACTAAGCGATTCGGAGACGGCTCACCTTTTTAAGAACGGGACCGAACTCGACATATTCAGGACTGTGCTTGAGAGAGAAACATAACATTGGCATACGAGGAACTGCCTCCATTTTTGCGCAACTCTCGTTATTTCTCGCGTTGAGAGAACGCGAGATTGCAGCTACTTTGACGGTGCTACACATTTCGCACTCAGTCTCACACTAACTGTTCCTCCCACTTTGCTTTCTTTTTCTCGATGAGAGATATATACGCTTTCAGGCTTTCTCTTTATTTTATGATTCATCACCATAAAGCCATTTTTGTAGGAAGTTTAACATCTAGTTACTTTGAAAACATTTTTGTAGAATATTTCTCTCTCTGCAAAATACATTCATTAAGTAAGGAAGGTGTTTCAATTTTTAAAACTAAAAGTAAACTATATTTTCTTTTAATCCAACCAAAAGAATAGGAGAGCATAAAAAGGCAGGAAAAGTAAAAAATCATATTATTTTGGAATACAAAAATAGTTTATCCCCAAATGTTTCGTTTTAGATGTATATAGATTTAAAAATTATATAATAAAAAAAAGGAAATGTAAAAATAATTAAACAGTAAATAAAATATAAGACTAGAGGTTTGTTTATTACACTTTCTTTTGGGAGGAGTGTTTATAAAAACATTTATTTATTAAAGAAAGTTACTAACATGTATTCTTTAAAAAAAAAACTTACAATGAAGCCAGTGGTAAATAAAAATGACTGAATAAAATTTGATACGTAAAAATTTGTATATATGAGGCTAAAATTGATCGTGTAAAAAGACAGGCAAAATGAAGGTATATGTATTGTATAGTTTGATTTTCAACAAAAATATAATGGGGTGTAAGACAAGGATGTGTTTTTTCACTGAACCTGGTGATTCTGAGAGAATTAGAAGTCCTACCAGGATTCATTATTGGTGGTCACAATATTAACAACATAAGATTGTAGCGATCATCATTGCCATCACACATACATACATACAGATCAAACGGCAAGCATTCATTGGCTAATCTCCTCAAAACTAGCTTTTCCTGTGAACAAGCTTCAGAGCCTACCACATGATACACAGCCTTATATAAACAAAACACGAATAAGCTCCCTCATGTTCCTCTTCATTCATCTTTCTCCTTGCTGCCAATATGTAATCTTCAAGAGCTCCTGTCTTAACCATGCGGTCAGGCATTAAAGATCATTGCCAAAAACTCTTACCGACTTTCTCGCAAGTCGTCAGTAGAGTCCAACTATTACGCCTGTCTATACAAATCCACGACTTTACTCACAACGCACACACAGACAGATTTTTTTATTACATTACACATTCTTCTTCTCTGTGACTATGCCAAGTTCATGAACCAGAACTCTCTCTTACTTACTCAAGACAACACACTTCTTAATTAACTGTATTCTATTCTAACACCAGACTCTATTCAACATAGAACCCTGAACATTCTTATTCAAGAGAAATTCTTTTGAACATTCAATCTTAATCAGAATACAGTTGAAGGGAAGCAACTTTTTCTCCCTTAATTACGACACACCATTGCATGATTGTTTTGTATGTTATTGTTTCAATATAAATTTTATTGCTGATACTCAATTGGAGTCTCATTGTTTTTTTTCTTGAGTCATTAAATGTATAATAAATAAATGCTCTGAGAACACGCAATTACAATTGATAACCTCAACACATAAACCCAAGCAGCATTTACAAGATGTACAGATGACACAGTGTTGATAGCAGACATGGAAAGAAAGCTACAAAAACTCCTACAGAATGTAATGAAGGAAAGTGAGAAGAAGGGATTAAGCATCAATTGCAAGAAGACAGAAAGCATGGTTGTCAGCAAAAAGATATGCCCAAAATGCAAATTACAAATTGGAAATACAAAAATCAAACAAGAACAAAAACTTAAATATCTAGGAAGTGTTTTAACAGAGGGTGGAAAGTGCAACACTATCCCAATGTGAAGGTGTATTGGGATAGCCAAAGATGCCTTCCAAACACTTAGCAGAGTATTAAGAAACAGAAAAACTTTGTTAGAAACAAAAAAAAAAAGAACTGAACTGTTACATGATATCTATCCTCCAATATGAATATGGAACAGCAAAAATGTGAATGCTGGACAATCTCCTCAAAGATGAAGAAGATACTTGAAGCAACAGAAATATGGTTCTACAGAAGGATGCTGAGAATACCACTGACCAAGAATGAGCAATGGCAAAGTTTTAGAGAAAATGAAAACAAAAAAGAAACTTATGCTTAACATCAGGAAGAGATAGATGAAATTTATAGGGCACATAATGAGGAAAGTGGGCTTGGAAAATTTGATACTCATAGGACAAATTGAAAGTAAGAGAAAAGGAGGAAAATAACACAGAACATACTTAGTGAGCTTGAGTAAATGGATGATGGAACAAGGTTTAGGAGAAATAGCAAAAAGACAAAATTTATTAAGAGATACAAAGGATAGGAAATTGTAGGGAGCTATGATCACCTACGTCTGGAAGGGATACGACGCATAAAAAAGAAGAAAAAAAGAGGCTCAAGTTTTATAGTGTCAAAACCCAGCATAATAAAGTTTTCAAACATGCGTAGTTTTTGGCATACATAATATAGAATATACCACATGATGAAGAAGAAAAATAATCAACCAATCAAATTGTGCTATTGTGGTGATGAAAAATCCTTGACCTTCAGCCATTTAAAATAAATATAAATAGGATTGGTAATGAAAAATTCGGTAGATGCACTCACTCTCATAAGTATTTTTGTTTTCAGCTACCAGCAACTTCAAATGACCTGTCTTCAAATGTCTTACCCACTTCCATTGATAAAAACCAGAGCCAAGCCCAACAATTTCTTTTGTATGTGATATGTCCCAGAAAGAAATATATTTGTTCGAAGTAGCAAAGTGGTTTTGGACTACTGTAACCAAGTAGGACAATCTAGCAGGTAACCGTAATGGACTGGTCCTCATCGTAGTGGTAGGCAATAGGCATAGGCAATATGCGTAGTCAATAGGCGTCCTCTGTACCTCCACATCAGTCTGTATTTATGGCTGACACCAGCCAATCATATTACTGTGAGGGGGAACCTAGGTGTATGCATATTCATTACATCAGTATATAAATCACTCTCTCTCTCTCTCTCTCTCTCTCTCTGAGAAAAATAGCAGAGAGAGGGAGGAGATTTTCTATATGTAAATTACCTCTCTTTTCATGCACTAACATATTGTCTTTTATTTCAGACATCTGAAAGAAATATTCATTTCACACAAAATTTACCTTTATTAAACAACTTAATTTCCTTTTTTGTATTTCATTTCTTTTGCTTGAACCATACATATAAAATTATCATTATTTTTATTCTGTTCATTTATGTGTGTTGCATTAACTCATTTTGAAATGGTAATTTTTTACCAAAATTTGCTGGGGGATTCACAGCTAATTTAAATGGGTCTTCAAATCAATATTAATTGTTGACACCCACTTCCCAACTTCAACAAACAATGAAATCTTTTTATATTTCTGCAGTTGTTTTGGTGGTTGCTGCTGATTGTTGCTGGCCTTGTTTTGATGGTGAAGGCGCTTACTTCTATCCCCCTTAGAGTAAAGGGTAGGTGATGTTGCATCCGAGGTCAAACAAAAGAAAGAAAGGGCCAATGAAACAATTGCTGTCAAATGAGGAATAAAATAACAACATATAACACTTTGAATATTATTTATTAACAACAATGGTAACAATTAAGTAAAAGAGAAAAGATGTTCTTAGAAGGATTAAAGAGAGTTCATAAAAGGTCTATTGCAATAAATGAGAGAATAAATGTCTATGTATGTATGGATTTGTGAGTATGTGCATAATATATGAAGATATATACATTGTATGTGTGCAAGTGTATCTATATATATTTATGAAAAGGAGTAATTCAATTAAGAGGTTTCTTTTTCTGTGGTTAATAAAGTTGGTGTTTGGGGCAAAACTTTTATTTTTCTTTGTTATATTCTATACTAATAGGAATATATACTTGAACAACATGGATAAAGAAGTAAAGGTTTATTGTAAAACCAGTACAATAAGGAAATAAGGTAACAGTTATGTGCATGATTGTCACAAGTCAATACAGTAGTGAGTGCTGCTATTGGAAGATCGGTAGTTCTTGTGTCAGTCTGAGTTGTATTCAACAGATCCCAGCAAGATGGTATTTACCAGCTTCCCCACAAGGAAGGATGTGGCACAAGGCCGAGTTTAAAGTGGGGCAATCTGAGCCCATAGACTTCACCAAAAATTCCCTGTAACCCCACATAAATGGGTTCAGGTCTGTCTACCTCCCCAGACGAAACTCTGCCCTTTGGCATAGTCTTGTCTGGGTTCCTCTGTGCCTGAAAGCAGAGAGTTCAACAGCAGCCAAGATCTGAATAACAGATCCCAGCAAAAACTTTAAAAATGTTTAAAGATTTCAACATATGAAAATTTTCCCGAAAACTGAAATACTGTTTTTAAAACAAATTTTTAAGACAATCTCATTTGTGTTGTGTTGGAATCTTTGTAAAACTTTTTTTTAACAGAGATGCAGCAGCAATTAATCTTTATGGAAATGTCAAAATTTGAAACTTAAACATTTTTTTCGAGTAAAATTTAGTCATGAAAATAATTGTAATTATTACAAAAAAAAATAATATTTTCTTAAAATCTTAAAAATAAAAAACCTATTCATTATAAAAGTAAATAATTAATGAATTTGTTCTGAATTTTTCATTTAAATTGGATAATTCCCTTATTTTTATTAATTTAAAAAAGTGCTACCCTTCTCCCCACCCCAATCTTCCTTTGAGGGTTTGTGGCCCTCAGGTTAGGAAAAGTTTGAAATCTACATTTAGTAGAGAGGGGGCCTCATATCAAAGTTTTGGGATAGATCCCCCAAAACCCTAGTGCAAGCCCTGCATGTTCTCATTGATTGAGAATGGTCATGTGGTGTGCTTACTTCTATGTCTATATCAGGCACCACTAATTCTGCTTTTACATGTCTATTTTTAGACTCTGTGAAATTGAGAATTTTGAAAATGTATTTTTATTTATTTTTGTGCATTTTTGAAGTTTTAACATTGTCTATCCTTGCCAGTAATGGTGCAACAATAAGTTTGAATATGGAACCAACAGAAGC